GTTTGGCAGGGAGGCAGAGGTAGCGGTGCAGTGGAGGCGCCGCCGCCGGGAGAGGGCTGGTTGGGGGGGAGGGCTGAGGAGGGCGGCGAGGCGGCTGGGGGAGGTCCCCGCACCGCCGCTCCCTGCGTCTTCTCCGCGTAGCACACCCACCCCGGGCACGAGGAAGACACGAGCGGCAACGGGCCGCCGCCGCCCGCCACCGCAGTCGAGGCGGCGCCACCGCCCTCGCCAGTGCAACCGCCGCCGCCGCCGCCGCCGCCGCCGCCTTCGTCGCCCGCCGGCTGCTGCTGCTGCTGCTGCTGCTGCTGCTGCTGCTGCTGCTGCTGCTGCTGCTGCTGCTGCTGCTGCTGCTGCTGCTGTAGGTGCGGGTGTGCGGCGCGGTACCGAGCGGCAAACTCTGCGGCGGTCTGCAGCAAGTGCAGGTCCGAGGCGAGGGAGAGGTCGACGAGCGCCGCTGCGCCGAGCGAGCGCACGAAGCCGTCGAGCCGGCGGTGCGCCTGCGGGGGCGGTGCGGCGGCGGCGGCGGATGGGAGGAGTCGTCCCGACGGGTGGGGAGTGGGGAGTGGCGGCATGACGCAGCAGCAGCGTGCAGCGCCGCGGGCGGGCGGTGCGCTCGATGCGGGGCGGCGCGCCTCGCGGATCGTCACGCCGGTGTGGGCCGCGACTGCCGCGCGCGCTGCCGCCGAGATGACGACCACCGCAAGCCGCGGCGCGCCGGCGGCACCGGACCCAGCGCCACGCAGCCGGCGAATGAGCTCGTCCGAGTTGTGCTGGGCGACGAGGACCGACTCGGCAGACGTGATGCAGCCGGAGCAGGCGAGGCAGTCGTTGAGCGTGATCTTGGCCACGCCGCCGCCCTCAGCCTCCGGCCGACCCGCAACGCCCTCGAGCTGCAGCACCGCGCGGCTGCGGCCAGTGACGGGCTTCTTCTGGAGCTTGACCGGCTTGACGCAGGCGGCCGATGGGGAGATGAAGTCGTCGAGGCCGAGCGAGAGGCGGACCTCAGACATTGGCCGCGCTCGCGCTCAGGGCCGCGTTTTCGCGCCGGAAGAATTCTTACACCCACTCCGCGCCCTTTCGCGTCAGAGCTGTGTTTGCGCTCGCTGTGCGCTCTCCCGTTGCTTCATGTTGCGGGCTACTCTGGAGTCCTCCTGGCTGCTCTCCGTCCGGAAGAATTCGCGGCGCGACGGCATAAGGACTCCCCATGCTTTCGTTACATGGCACTACGCACGGGACTGGGGCGCACTTCTCTTTTGATTGATTGAGCACTTGAGCACTGGATAGGGTCGATTCCGCGTGGTACGGGACCCCTCGATCGTCTCGCCCTCCCTCTCTGGCGTGTTCATTGGGGGGGGGTCATAACAAACACGGTACAGGATCGAGGTGCACGCTGCCGAAGCAGTGTCGTCCCCCCTCTCCCCGACGGCGATGGCGGTGTGACCGATCGAGCTACAAGAGGAGCTTGTTCAGCAGGAAGAATTCGCCGCAGTGGGACTCCCCATGCTTTCGTTACATGGCACTACGCACGGGACTGGGGCGCACTTCTCTTTTAAACGAAAGCTCCCGGTGTTGACTGTTGTTGCCGAGAATACAACAACATGTACATGTACATGTACCCCACGTGGAGAGGGAGAGAGAGAGCGACTCCTCCCAGAGGAGCACAATAAAAATTCTACGAAAGCTAGGAAGAAATCCTTGTGAGCTGGTCGGCCGCCATTCGGGCCTCCCGGTCACTTGATGACACCATGAAGTACAGCGATCGCCATCTCGCTGGCTGGCCTCTCCGCAAGGCCTCCCGACCGCGTCGAACTCACGGCGCGGGCTCTCTCGGCTACGGGACCGGCCCCAGCTTCGGCTGAGGGCTGACAAGCTGCCGAGCCCAAATCACTGTGAGAGTCGTGATTTCTTGTTGGTTCTCTAAAATCTGTGGTAAAATTCTAAAATCTGGTTGTTTTTGTTGAATTCTACATGTAAAATCTCTCTCCCTGAAAGCAAGGCCAAGTGTTCGAAAAAGAATTTTACCCGAATGAAAAATAATTCATCCCGAGCCCTGGGTGTATGCCGTCCTCCCATCCCTCCGTTGAGTTCTTGTTTTCTTTCTTTCTTTTAGGTGCCCCCGACTTAAAGATAAAGTGACACATCCGACAACAAAAACAACCAGGCGGACCACAGGGTCTGTCGGGTGTTGGTGAGGCCCACACGTGTTTTTTATTGGATGCACACATGCAGTGAAGAAGAGAGAGTGCGATTACCGACGACGTACCCCATCGTCGCGCAGAAGCGCCCAATGGGTGCTTTGCTCACCACCCTTTTCTGGTTTGGCCCTCAACCACACAAGTTGCACGACAACAGTGCGCCTCCCAGCAAGAGAATCCCTGCTCACACACACATGTAACATGTATGTGCATGTGCATGTCCCACCATGGAGAGAGCGCATCTCTCTCTCTGTTGTGCGAGGCGTGAACCGCGCCATTCGCTCTCACCTGGCAACCCTGTCTGCACGTCTCGCGCGCGCGTGAACAGGGACCCCAAATGATGTGTGTGTGAGTGTTAGAGTTGTTTTGTTTTTGCCGAATCGGTGCACACCGCGCCAACACAACCACAGTCCGCGCACACCGCAGAGAAAGAATTTTACAAGAAAGAGAAAGAAGCAAGCGATTGCCACGAGGCATAAACACGGGTCTCCGAGGGTTGGCTCTGCGCTCCGGGTTTCCCCTAGCAGCGGAATGCCGCCTACTACTGCGTGATTTTTTTTTGCTTTTCGAGGGCCGCTTTCTTCGGCTCCTGTGGCTTTCCTGTGAGATCAGCGGAAATGACCGGTGTCGATCTCGGCTTCACCCGAAGGCTGGAATCGCAAGACAGCTGTGACGAGTGCGACTGCTGCGAGTGCTCTGGCGGCATGGGCGTGACCTACACTTGCGTCTGCAGGCCGGAGGAAGACTGCGGCTGGGTCGTCTCCGTCTTCAGCATCGTGATGCTTTTCTTCTGCATTTCGTGCTGCGTCGCCGCCGGCATCGGCATCTGCATCCGACAGCGCCGGCAGCAGGTCCTTCGCCGCCAGGTCGAATTGGTTCGCGCGGCGGGACGGCCGCCGCCCCTGCAGAGCAGTGTGACGACCATGAGCGCCGTTGTTGTTGGCCAGCCGGTGGTCTCACCTCCCGTGGCCGTGGTGGTGTGTGCCCAGCCCGTGTCCAGACCTGTGGCACAAACCCTGTGAGGACTGAGCATGGTGGCGCCGCACCACCACAGGTCCGAGAGTCGCGGGCCGCGGGCCCCGGGCCAGCACAAGAGACTGTGCAGTCTGGCCGCCCGTCATTCCGTGCAACCATGTACTTCCATGGAAATGTACTTCCATGGAAAATTGAAAAAGTAGGAGACAACTAGCGCAAAGCCTTGAGATTTGACAATTCAGACATCACAGTGGTGTGCACACACAGCGGGTCAGAGACGAGAGAGAGAACGTCAGGAAAGTGCGGCCCCTTCCGATATGTCGGGCCTGAACGCGGTATGTAGCGGTCGCGGTATGTAGCGCGACCTCCGCTACATATCGTCCGGTGTTATGTATCGGTCCGGGGTGGTACATATCGGTCGGCGCGCTACATACCACCTCCGGCGTCCGCGGTCCGGGGGCGCTACATATCGGTGTCGCGATATGTAGCGCCCCCGGAGGCGATATGTAGCGCTCGGGATATATATCGGTCAACGCCACGGTGTGAATTACTTCCCACCAACAATTGCCCCTACAACCTCACCACTCCCAAGTGTGACCTCCCCGGGGTAAAATCGTGTGCTGACTTCACTTTTTGACAGCTAAAACCTGCCATTTTCTCATCGAGATCAGAATCTCGCGCCAATCTCGTGCAATCTCCCCCAATCTCAATTAATCTCGGTCCAGACGAGGGCTATTCAAATTTTGAATCCGCAGGGTAATGATCAAAAGTAGCATGACAAATCATAACGGCAAATCTGCGCAAGATTCACTGACGAAGCTACATCACTGAGAATTTTCAATTTCATCGAGATTCTCTCAGATTCCTTTTTTGGCTATATGCACCACGCGCGATGAATCAACGCGAATCCCGTGACACAGTAGCGAGTGAAAGGTGAGACCGTGCGAGCGGACAGAGTCTGGAGATGAAGTCGCAAACGAACTAGCGGTTGCGAAGAGACGAGGGGCCCGCTCCAACTCCTCACGTGTCGTCACGCCATCTTTTTCGCGTGAGAGGGGAGAGAGCGAGCCAAACTCGCGAACGTACGAGAGGCCTGCCCCCGGTCCACGGCCTCTCCCAGCACCCGCGCGGTCCAGCCAGAGCTTCCCGCCTCGCTTCCCCGCCCAGCCCTAGTTGACCTGCCCGCCGCTGTCTCCCGAGAAGAAGGACCTGTGTGCGGCAGCGGCGCCGCGTCAGACGGAGAGGGGAGTGCGGAGTGCGGCCTGCTGGGGCGCGTCCCGTAGCTCGTGTGCCCTGCCCCTCTCGGCGGCCTCTCCCGGGCAGCACCGGCAAGGGGGGGGGGGGGGGGGGGGCATCTCTCGCGCACCCCACGCTCATCCCCCGCATGCCCGACAAGCGCGCGCTCGAGCCTCTCCGCGACAGCGGCTTGACTGCAGGCTTGACTGGCGAGGGCCCCTGCCCCAGACCCGGCATCGAGAAAAAAATAGGGCTCAAACCGCCGCGGGAGGGTGACGGAGTCAGGGCCCCCTCGCTCTCCTCGTCGGCCGACAGGATGCCGTCGGCCGAGGCGCGCCGCGAGACGACGGGACTCTTGTTTGGCCGACGGCCGGCTGAGCCCTCGAGACAGCCCTCCGCCACGTGGATGCGGGGAGGATGCGGCCCCGCCGCACGCGCGAGGTCGAGCACGCCATCGCTAAGGTAGCCTATGGGGCCAGTAAGGTCGGGGTCGGAAGAGTCAGATCTCCCGCCGCGAGCTGTGCGAAGGTGTGCTGATGCGGTCGCCGCCGTTGCGCGACGTGAAGGCTGCGGCGAGCCTGTCTGCTGTCTGCGGGTCGGGGGAGTGCCTGCGAGCTGGCGCCGGCGTGCCTTCTTTGCTGCCCTGGCGAGACAGCGCCCAGGCCAGTTCGTCATCCGCGTCTCTCCTCTCTACCGCGTAGCCGTCGAAGCGAGGCGAGAGGCTGCGGCGAGGCGAGTTGCTGCGGCGGTCGATCCTCCCGTCGATCTCGTCGATGAGGCGCTGGCGGCGGCGAGGGTCGCGCAGCCTGTGACGGAGGGCAGCGGGGGTGAGGGGGCATACACACGGGGTGTGGGTTGGGTGCGAGACTGGAGAAGACGCGGAGAGCCAGCAGCAGCGGCAGCAACGGACTGGAGGCGTCCGTTGCTCACTAGCGCTAGCTCACTAGCGCTACAGCCAGAGGGGATGTCTGTATGCATGTGTGTATGCCTGATGCAGCACCAGCAGAGCACGAGTCCGAGGATGGCGGAGGCGACCGACCCGCCGGGCAAAATCAAAGAGAGGCTCACGCCAACCGTGTTGGCAAGAGCAACCAGCGCCGTGGGCGGCGGCGCTGAGGGCGGCGGCGGGAAGGGAGGCGGCGGCGGCGGCGGCGAGGGCGGCGGCGGGCGCGGCGGCGGCGGCGGCGGCGGCGACGGCGGGGGCGGCGGGGACGGCGGGGGCGGCAGCGGCGATGGCGGCGGTGCGGGCAGGGGTGGAGGCATCGGGGGGAGAGGCGGCGGCGGCGGAGGCGGCGAGGGCGGAGGAGGGAACGGTGACGGGGAGGGCGGCGGCGCAGGCGGCGCTGGAGGCGGTGACGGCGGCGACGGATAGAAGGGCGGAGCCGGCGACGATGGAGGAGAGTTGGGAGGTGGGAAGGGGCTCGGGGGCGGAGGGGCTGGTGGGGCGGTGGGAGGCGAGGCCGGAGGCGGCGACACGGGCGGAGGCGGCGGCGGCGAAGCTGGCGGCGGCAGCAGGGGCGGAGGAAGCGGCGGCGAGGCCGGAGGCGGCGACAGTGGCGAAGGAGGCGGCGGCGAGGCTGGAGACGGCGGCAGCAGCGGAGCAGGAGCGGAGGGCAGCGGCGGGGGCAGGAGTGGCAGCGGAGGAGGCGACTAAGGCGGTGCGGGGCTGGGGGGAGGCGGGGAGGTGGGCGGAGCGGGAGGGAGGGGCGACGGTGGCGAAGCGGGCGGCGGGGGAGTGGGCGGGTGCGGCGGCGGCGGACTTTGCGGAGGGTGGGGCGGCGGCGGCGAGGCGGGCGGAGGCGAGGAGGGCGGAGGCGCGGGCGGCGGCGGAGACGGGCGCCAGACGGCGGTGACGAGGTAGACGTCGAATTTGCCTGTGCGTGTGGGGGGGGGGAGCGGCGGGCGAGGGTGCGAGGGATCCGAGGCGGCGCGCGTGCGGCTGTGGAACCACAGAGGCCGCGGAGATGGGAAGAGAAGAAGTCGCGGCTGGGCGGCTCGCCGCGCCTGGCATGCAGTTGTTTAGGTCCTTCTGGGTGCCGCACGCGCCGGAGCCCTCGCAAAAGCCCCCCGCAACAGGGAATTTGGAGGCGTATTGCTCGTCGCAGCGCTCCAAGTTGTCGGGAGCAGCGGGGCAGTCTGTCTCGTTGGCCTCGCGCAAGCAGAGCCCGCAGCTCATGCTGTCTGGGATGCACCACGGGTCCGACACCACCGCGGCCGAGAGCTGCGGAGGCTCGGAGGGCGCAACCGCCACAGCAGAAAAACGCAAGCCGCTGCTCAAAAGAGATAGCAGCGAGGACGGCCAATCACCCGCGGCGGCGCTGGCGTTGCCGGCCTCGTTGGCGCCGTTCGAAGGCCCGGCACGAGCGGAGAGCAGGCCTCGCGAGGAGCGGCCAAAGGCTCCCATGGTGGTTGGGCCGGGATGAGGTCGACGTGCACGTACGAGCCGCCGTTCAGAGCTCAGAAAAAACCCATGGGCCCCCGGGGCGACGGCTAGCACCACACTCCTCTCCTTAAAATCCCCGTGTGGCGGCGGTGGCGGCGTCCTGCCTGAAAAGAATTGTACAAACAAACTCCCTCGCACGACAAAACACAAACTCTCTCTCTCTCTCTCGCACGACAGTCGACACATCGACACTGTGGGCAATCTCGCACGAAAGCAAAAACAACGCGCCGAGCAGTGGCAGTCTGGCACTAACACAGGTACACCACGGGAAAGAATTCAAATTCCCCTGGGTGATGCTCTGATAAACCCTCCGGATCTTCGACAAAGGTCGGATATTTCTTTTTTCAAAGTGCAAGGTGTGAATAAGAGGTTTATGATAGGGCTACTACGACGAACTATGCGGCAATCGACTGGGCGCCTGGCGCCCGACCACCCCCGCGCAAAGACCTCGTAGTAGCCCTCCCCGTAACCGACTTGGCCGGAGACGTGTCCTTCCAGGCCGCTGTCGCCGCGCAGAGATCGGCGCGAGCAGTCGCTCGAGGTGCTCTACTGGCTGGCGGTGCTCAAGGGGAGGCGCACACGCTGGCCGAGGACACGGTCGTCAACACACCGACACCATCCCCGCGGGCTATCTCGTGGTCAAGGCGCAGTGGCTTCAGGCTCGAGCAACGCGAGTGCGAGGGCAAGCTTCGCTCCTACACGCTGCTCGAGGCCGAGACGCTCATCATCGTGAATCACATGGTGCGGCTGGCGGGCTTGCGCTTCTCGCCCGGGCGGCCCTGCGGACCGCCAGCTGAGGAGCGCGCGCGAGAAGCTCTATATTGGCCTACAGACGCATTACTCGCTCGAGGGCGTGCTGCAGTGAAGACTTATTTTGGAGGCGTCGATTTGTGCAAAAATGTGTGTTAGAGTGCGCTAGATGGCAAAATTTTCTTCGCCTCCGGCGGGGCCGCTCGCCGCGGGGCTAGAGAGTGACTTTTGTCGATGTCGGCTAGAAGTGCTGCACGTTTTTCAGAATTTCACCCCCCTAGATAGTAATCGCACGCCACGTTATGTGCACGACAATGCCCCGATGCGCCAAGACGACGCGCAAACGCATATTACTGGCCGACGACGACCACTTCCTCGACGGAGAGCTCTGGTGCTACGTGGCGCTGCCACTGCTCTGTCGCGCCGCTACACCGTCGATAGCCTTTCCGGGTGCCGCCTGGATAACGTGCTCACCGCCGCCGCCGCCGCCACCGCCGCTGCCATGGCCATCGCCCTCGCCGCCCTCGCCGCCTCCGCCCAAACCACCTCCGCCCTCGCCGCCTCCGCCCAAACCACCTCCGCCCTTGCCGCCTCCGCCCAAACCACCTCCGCCCTCGCCGCCTCCGCCCAAACCACCCCCGCCCTTGTCGCCTCCGTCACCCTTGCCCTCACCACCTAAACCACTGCCGCCTCCGCCATCGCTCCCTCTACCCTCGTTGCCTCTACCTTCACCGCCTCCACCTCTACAACCGCCGTCGCCATTGCCTGGCGCACCGCCACCCTCACCACTGCCGCCCTCTCAGTCGCCGTCCTCGCCGTCACCTAGTCCACAGCTGTTCTCACCGTCCACGCCCTCACCACTCCCCGCCTCGCCGAACTCACCTGCCTCACCCACGCCGCCTCTCCCTCCGCCGCCACCGCCGCCACCGTCACCACCGCCGCCGCCGCCACCCCCAGCCCCACCGCTACAGCCGCCGCAACTGCCGCCGCAACTGCCGCCTCCTCCACCGCCGCCGCCGCTCCCGCCGCCGCCGCTTCCACCGCCGCCTCTGCGACCGCCGCCCCGACCGCCGCCCCGACCCATGCCGCCCTCGCGTCCCCCGCTCTCAAAGCCCTCGCGACCGCCACCGCTGAGCTCGTATCCGCCATCGGTTCCGCCGCCGCCGGCATGGCCTCAACCACTGCCTAAATGCCGCGCCAGCAGCGACGTCTTCGACGCTGGCTGGGGCCCTTGCACCTCGTATGCGCGCGGCAGTGTCAACCACAAGTACTGCGAGAAGGACCTCGACTCTAGCACTCGCCTTCTCGCGAGCAGGGTTTGCCCCGAATGCGGGGAGTGCGGCCCGGCCTCCTCCGCGCCCCCCGCCATGCCACCCGCCACTCCACCGCCCCCTCCCCCGCCTCCTCCACTTGGCCCGACGCCCGCGTCGCCGCCGCCATCGATGGCGGCGCCAGCTCCGTGCGGGCAGTGCGAGGCGTGCGACTACCGGAGAGAGGTGTTCGATGGGCAGCAGTGCCTCTCCGTCGCCGACGTGGTGCGTCGCTTCGCACCCAGAGACGCAGCGAGCCGGGCGGGGCGCAGGGGCCGGCAGCCGCGTTAAACGGTGGCGTTTTTCTTCCTATCAGTGGAAAAATCGCTCGAACATGGCCGCCGAGAGGATCCTCCTTGGGCTTGGGAATATGTCGGCCGGCTCCGTCGCGGAGCACAGCGGCGTGGCGCAGCGGTGCCCCGGCACGGAGCGGTGGGGCGACTGGCCCAGTCCGGTCGGCCTCACCCTCGGCATCCTCGCCGCGCTCGCCGGCCAGGTCGCCGTCATAGTGTACCACTATGCGCGGATGCGCTGGAGCCGCGTGCGGCGGGTGCAGAGCGAGGCGCGGCCGTACGCGTTTGGCGAGGGGGTGGCGTCGCACCTCGCCAACCCGGGCGGCATCCTCCTCATGGTCTTCTACCTCTGCGCCTACTGGCTTCTCGACCTGATGCCGTGCTCGTACTACTCGTTTGCTGGCGGCGTGCGGTGGTGGATGGTCTTTGCGCAGATCTGCTGCCAGGATGGGCTGATGTTCCTGCTGCACTACTTTGAGCACAAGGGCCCGCTCGGCCCCGCCTTCTACCAAAAGTCGCACAAGCCCCACCACCGCTTTGTGAACCCTCGGCTGTTTGATGCGTTCGACGGCTCGGTCCCGGACACGTTCTGCATGATCCTGGTGCCGCTGGCGACGACGGCGCAGCTGCTGCACGCGAACGTGTGGGAGTACATGCTCTTCGGCTCGCTCTGGTCCGCCTGGCTCTGCCTTATTCACAGCGAGGCGCGCGCACGCGTCCCATCCGCCAAACACGCAACCCACGCACGCACACGCACGCACGCACGCGCACGCGCATTCGCGCGTAGCGTGTGTGCTCTCAGCACTGCTCTCTCTCTCTCGCTCTCTCTCTCTCTCTCCCTCTCCCTCTCTCTCTCTCTCTCTCTCTCTCTCTCAAGTCCAGCTAGCACAGCGGGGAGCGGCGGCTGCACGCGGCGGCGGCTAGTTGCGGGCTCAAGCACCCCCACACCCCTCTGGGCATGCAGCATTGCGCGCCCAGCCCGCCTTTCGGCCTGCCCCTCTCCGTCTCGCCTCTCCGTCTCGCCTCTCCGTCTCGCCTCTCCGTCTCACCTCTCCGTCTCGCCTCTCCGTCTCACCTCTCCGTCTCACCTCTCCGTCTCACCTCTCCGTCTCACCTCTCCGTCTCGCCTCCCCCAAAGGTGCACCACCCCTGGGACCCGCTCTTCCGCCTGCTCGGCCTCGGCACCGCCGCCGACCACCACGTACACCACCGCACCTTCATCTACAACTACGGCGCGCTCCCCCCCCCCCC